ACACACACTCTCACACTCTCTCACACACACACACACACATGTCAGTATGCATTTTAATTCTCTGTGAACAATGTTCATATGGTGTGACATTGACCTCTGAAAACATTGTGTGTGTTTTGATGTGTTTCTGTCTCAGGTATCTCTGCTGTGACACACAGAATGAAATGAGGGAGTGGTTTGCTACGTTCATGAGCATACAGGTCAGTCTGAGAGGATCACATCAGCGTCCATTAATGCATTAACGCCTGCTGAAGCACATTTGTTACACAAAGACCTCTGAATGATCAACATGATCAAAACTTTGCTGAAAAATCGCATAACTTTGATATTGTTAGTAATATCTCCAGATGAACACTTACTGGACTGAAGCAGCTCAGCCAGAGCGACGACTGATATTTAGATAATTTTATGTCAGTATCTGCTTCAGTGTTATAAAGATCTCACTGATTTACAGAAAAGCCTGACGGATCAGATATGCTGCATTTGTTGCATGTAGGGCTGGGCGATATGGCCAAAAAAATGATCATGATAATTTTTTTCATATCAGTCTATATCGATAATTATCACGATAAATGTCACATTTTTTTTTTTTTTTAAGGTTTAAAGGCAGATTTTTCTCCAGATTTAAAGTTGTAGAAACCAGATAGTTACTTGTGGTTTTAAACTACTCTTTATGGTTAGAACATGACAAGCACTTCATGTTTTTGAATTCTTTACACTTTTCCTTAACAAAATAAATATCTTAATAGAAAATTAGATTTCTTAGTTTCTGCATGTTCTAATAAGTAACATTGTTTCAAATTAAGAAACAGGTTTGTGTTGCCTGTGTTGTATGAAAACCAGTATTCTAAATAGCCTACAGTTAGTATAAATGCACAAACGCTATAGCTTAATCGCTTTAATACATTTAATACATGTCTACATTAATAATATAATAAAATTCGATACGAATTCCAATGTTTCTGACACAATACCATGGTGCTTTTAGTGTTATTACTGTAAATTATGGTCGATTTGTAGATTGAAAAGCCTTCACACAGTGTTTCTCCTGTTTGTCAGCACTGTTTCATCTGCCTTTAAACTCGTTTAAATCAGCAATTCATTTGTGTTGTTCGCTGAATTCAAGTGCTTTTTAGTGTTTGTGTAAACGCATCTGCTCTGGTGAGCTCGCGCTGCGCTGCTGTTCTTCTTCTTTCATTTATTGGCGGATCGCACCAGTTCTTGCGTTGCGCTGCTGTTTGAGTCGAGTGGATAAACGGTCCGTGTGTCACGGTTCAAATAAGTCGCGCTGTTTCGTTCCGCTTTTGGCGCATAATCATTATATCGAACATTTATCGAACTCTTCATATCGTTTTATCGGGAAGAATTATATCGTGATAATTATCGTTACCAATTTATCGCCCAGCCCTAGTTGCATGTATTTATATCTCTCTCTCTCTCTCTCTCTCTCTCTCTCTCTCTCTCTCGCTCTCGCTCTCTGTCTCTCTCGCTCTCTCACTCTCTCTCTCTCTCTCTCGCTCTCTCTGTCTCTCTCTCTCTCGTGCTCTCTCGCTCTCTCTCAATTCAATTCAATTCAATTCATATTGCTTTATTGGCATGACATACTTAGGTACATATTGCCAAAGCATTGTACATAGCAGAATAAAAATATACATAGAATTATTAAAAGGAAAAAAACATATTTTGGTTTTAAAATAAATATTACAGTTAAGTATTACAAATATTACAAATAAATTAAATATTTATATTTATAAAATATTTAAAGATTTACTTTCTAATTTTTTTTTTTACATTTGATTGATTTAATTAATACTTTTTTTTTTATTATTATTTTTAATTGAGGGGCTGATGATCTCTGAGCCCACGACAGAGACTTTTCAATCCTATAATTCTATTGAAGTCAGTTTTTTGAGTGACTCTGGCAGGTTTTGATTGAATGAATGCTTTGTTTTCTGCAGCTCTTCAGAAATGTTTGACGGAGTGAACGGTGTTCAGGTGAGACGTCCAGCTTCTGCGCTTCAGACCAACACAACAACAACAAAATCATCACAAATATATCATCAATGTTTGATAAATCACTGTGTTTGTTGTTTAAAGTCATGTAAATATTGAAATGCAGTGGTACCCTGTCTATATATATATATATATATATGTATGTATATGTATGTGGGTCAAAGACGAAAAAGGGTTTAAGCATAAAAACAATAAGTGTAATAAGCAAAAAATAATTACAGAAAAAAAAATAAATAAAATAAAAATTACAAAAACAAATTTACAGAAGAGACTAGAGCCCGACCGATATGGGTTTTTCTGGGCCGATACCGATATTAGGGAGTAAAAAAAGGCAGATACCGATATATCGGCCGATATTCTTTGTGTATATTATAGTACAGTACCAGTCAAAAGTTTGGACACTTTCCC